CCGGGAGAGAATCCACACCAATATAATCATATAGTGAACAAAAATTGTGATAATAAATAAAAAAAACATATATTATTATTATTATTATTATTATTATTATTATTATTATTATTATTATTATTATTATTATTATTATTATTATTATTATTATTATTATTATTATTATTATTATTATTATTATTATTATTATCCTCAGATAATCAGTTATGACGACGAAAATGCCTCATTGATTTTCAGAAGAATATATCTATTCTTCATCTCTAAGTATTACTGTAGGTCGTATAAATTACAATAAAATGTTGCATTTTTATTACAGCTATAAACAGGCCGGAAATTTTGATACTGATGTTGGGTATAATGAGTTTACTGTGTGTTCTAACAATCGGAATTTTTGCTGACAACCTGAGATATATACACAAACACTTACCAATACCAAGTCGAAGGACTCGAGTCACTTGGATCATCGGCACATTTCCGGTCAGTATCGATATCATCCAGGGGAGTAAGGGTAGTGCTCTGATTAATCAAAGAAGGTCTGTGGTTCGATAGTTGGTGGGACACTGTCAAAAATACGTCGCACCAGCCTCCCTAGTACACTGTATTATATATTGTATAATTCGAAACAAATCGAAACGCTGATAAACTTTACCACGAGACATAATGATAAAAAAAGAGTTACAAGGTGACCTGATTGGCAACCCCTGACAAAATCGGAAATACTGAGACGGGTAAAATATTTTTGTCAAAAAATAAATTCAGTCCAAATCTATTCACTGTTTTTAATGTTGGCGGAATTGACATTGCATGAGTTTGTTCACTAAGTTTTAAATTCACTAGTTTTTGAAGGAAACGTTACATTTTACTGTTAATTTCGCCTTTTCAATGGGTTTTGAATTTACGATTAGCGGAATGAGCATCAATAAAAAACAGCGAAAAGTTAAGCCTATACAATACTAACGTGATGTTGAATATAGTTTTCTACGCACGCCTGTCATGGTGTGATTATAATCCCGCTATAAACATAATATGGAAATAAATAATGACCAAGGCAAATACAATAAAGTATAAATCTTTACTTATAGATTGACTGAAGGGCACTAGTTTTATTATTTTCTGTCGAGTCAAATACTTGTCTTGGTAACAGCGTTGAACTTGATAATGTGATTTGGTCAACATGAAATATAAATATGTTTTTTTTTTTCACGTATGTGTACATTCATAGTTTCATATTTATTGAGTTATTCATGCATTTATTTTTAATTTGTAGGTGATTTCTTTTACTTCTTTGATAGCACTTTACATACCACGTGCTTGGTTCATTTGTTTGATCCACGCATCACTGTAAGTAAAACTAATATTATCATGCGTCTTTTAGATTACGTAGACGGTCTGTGCGGATATGGAAAAAAAATAACCGAACATATCACCACTTAATTAAAGCGGGAAGGTCGTCACCTGCGCACGCGCGGGAATTGAGTTCCAAGCGACGGTATCCACACAGTCACGCTAAAAACGCAAAGGCTCATGAGTAGACGCTTGTTTATAAACAATGACACGCTATGGCCATCTGAAGCACCCCTGCTTTAATAATCCCTTCCAAATGAACCCATCGGAAATTAGCAACAGACCCATGCTAATAATATGAACATAATTGATCTTCAGGGAAAATGTTCTAATCCAACTCAATTTTTTTTTAAAACCGATAAGTATTTATTCAGATACTCAAATTTGAGCAGGTAAAATTGGCATCAAAACAAAACAACATAAATTTGTAGTTTCAAACACCGTACCGCACAGCTGTATTGTTTTCAATCGCTATATGCATATAATGTCGTGATATAATGATTTCTCTTAAAAATATCCGTCTAAGCGGTTTTATAATATTCAAATTAGAGCACGTGTTTTATGTTGATCCATCAAGTACATACATGTACTTTCTTTGTCTAGTGTAGTAACCTATCACTGAGGGCGCTTTATGCGACTTTGTCAGGCCATCTCACCTAATTTAAAATATCCATCTGTTTTTGCAGTTATTTATCATTATCCCTCTACCAGTTTATGCTTTTGATCATTGACTATTACGGAGGGAGGCATGCCGCAGTAAAGATACACGAGGGAAAGACGTTCAGTTTGGCAATACCACCATATGCTTGCTGTTGCTGCTGTCTACCCAGGATATCTTTAAACCAGTAAGTTTCAGTTCCGCACTCGTTGATATTGACAATCTGAAAGGGACATCTTTTGTTATGCATATTTCCGGCTCTTTGGTATTGGTCTGTATTCCCGCGTCAATTTCCACACAAATGACTTCACACGACTCTGTTGTGCGCCGTACTTTCTAATTACAGGAGAGTGTTTCTAACATTTTTTGTGACACCATTTGTTCATTGATTTCAGAAATAATATTTATATTTTTTTAAAAAAAGGTAAACCGCACATGTTCATCACTGCCGTAAAAACGACACCTCGTTCAACCAAGTCCATGAACAACTCAAAATAATGAGTAGATATTTTGAGGATTAGATATTTTATGAAACATCGAAAACGATGAATTACCAGGAATACTTTAAAATCCACTATTTTGTTGGAATTTATGGCGCCAGGGAGACCAGACCAATATTCGAGTTTATTGCCGAAGGAATTAAGCTTTACATTTTTTTTATCATTGTCAACTTTGTGATTTTAGGATGCAGGCCTATGATCACCAGAACGCATTAGTATAGCTTGTTGTAGGAGCTGTGGGGATTCAGGCAATGGTGTGAATTGTTGCCTGTAATTTGTGGACGCAGAAGGCTTTGGATGTTGATGCACAACATCGTGACAATCCCAGGGAGTACAATCTTTTATGGGACTCTGAATTAGCAAGCCTAATACTCAGGTTCAGCAGCAACTGGATTGGTGGGCAGTGTCAGCCCAAGATCAGAGACCACCACCAAACTGTTCCCGACTATGTCATCAACTGTAGGTTGAGTCAGCAATTCAGACTTTCTGAATACACTGATGTTGCAGATCTTATTTCCCAAGTTACTGATGCCTACCCTGATTATGACAACAGAAAACTTATGGGCTACGTCCACCTCAGATTCTGCAATGTTGACTTTGAAGTGATCCTGGACACCTCTATAATAGGTTATTTGCGATGTGCTCGAATTGTCGAGGCTTCTGTCATGGTTTCTTGAAGCATTTAACATAAACTTCTTCTTACACACTATTGGCAAAGGAAATTACTCTCGAGGATCGACCACGATCTGATGGTATAAATAATACCTTGACTATCGTTTTACTTACTTACTTTCCTGACTGATCTATATCAAAATAATTCTTCCTTGTGTACATCCCTTATACAAGGTCGACACTTTCGTTCTGTTAAACTCCAAGATGACAACTTTGCCAATGTAGCCAACATCATGGACTTACCTGTAGAAGTATGTCTTCATTGGTACACTTTGATTGGTCACTGTGCACCTGTCTTCTTATTGAGGGGAATGATAATAACTCTGGCACTATTGGGCAAGTCAAGAGTGTGGAGAAGCTAGAAAAACTTTGCCAAGGGAGAAACTGTCACAACTGATGGCAACCCTGTAAAGTCGAACGTTGCCACCCGGAGCCCCGTGGCAAACCCGTGCCTTGGGACAATTTAATTAGGCGGATTAGGTAGCTATTTGCAATAAGCCTGTATTCTTCAAACACAATTAGTACAGCACGTTTGCAAGCTACACTTTGACCAGTCAAACATGAAGCACCAAGGTCACATTGCCACAATACAATGATCGGTTTCTATCCACTTAGGCGAGACAATGCCAATTGATCAAATGGTGAAAGATAGTTTTAGATGGAAAGACAATCACCACAAATAGAAAATGCATTCTGAACACCACAGCAACGCCCTGTCTAACTGTGAGCATTCGTGAGGGCTGAGAGACAACCTTTTCCCCAATCTGTAGCAAACCCACAGATTGGTAAGCAGCTAGCCCCTTTTTGGTCATGTTCACTGTCATCAAAAATAATCGGCTTAGGCGCACCTGACCCCATTCTGGAATACTTCCTTTGGTTCTTTGCTACTCAGCCTTATGTCATGAAGGCATGAGGCCACCTCTACTTCTAGGGCACAGAATATTGACTCTGTTCCAAGTCTCAGTCATCCTTGAATTTAATAGCAAGGTTATAGCATTATCTATGTAGAATACGGTATGATATATGATTGAAATAGCCATGGATGTGATCAACAAGAATCTACAATCCTGGACATCTTTGAATCCCGTCTAGTTACATGACTACATCAAAGGTATTAGATGTCAGCCTCACCCTAAGGCAAAGTCACAGTGATACCTTAGTCCCACTCAACTGACTGGCAGGCATTTCTTGTCTGTTTTCATACAAATTACGGGAGAAAACTAACATGTCCAATAAAATCCAAGTTCACCAGAGTAGCCGCTATGAAATTTCTGTATTGGTTGTCAAAGTAAAACTATTTGTACGGGAACTCCATCTTAGTGGAGTTCCAGTCGGTGTCGCTTCAGACATCTGCGGAAAAGCCAACCCCTGACCTTCCTGAATAACATCCTACCAGTCCCCATCCCTGAAAGGTCTGTTCTGTCATTGAAAGTATACCAGATCTGGTCCTTTTCTTATAGGACGATGTCTCCTTATCTGGGACAGCAATATGCATGGGTGTAGAGACAGTATGTCTCTCAAACATTATACCTTGTAATTGGTGCTGTTTTAAACAACAGTTATTTATCTAGGCCACCCAGGCCAGAGAACAAAACAGGTGAAAAAAGCCTTTTAAAAGCATTTTCTGGTGGCTCCACTAAATGGGCTTTTATGTCGGACCAAGATTTGTGCTATGTTGAATCTGAGAAGATTGCCAAACTGCAACATCACATGTAGAGCAGTGTTCCTCACATGTTTTAAACGTAAGAGTTCATAAGTCAGACTAAACCTATCGTTTACAATATTTCATAAAATCTTCACATTACTTCACATGTATGTCTTTTAGATTATATGCATATGTAACAACACGAACATTATGTTGATAAGGAGTCTGGTGTTTTGGTATTTTTGGTGTTTTTTTATTGTTGGGGATGTCTTACTGTTTATTCTGTCTTAACTTTTATTGTGTGGAAGATCTACCTTATTGACCGAACAGGGTTAAATAATGTGTATTATTAAGTATAAATCCCTAATTCTCGAGTTTTCTAAAACACTGCAACAAAAAGGATAATGCTTAAAACGAGTTATTATTCAAAAACAGATGTGCGTATTTGTGAACAAAGCTTAGTTCCGTGTTTAATTACAGTAAAACACATTCACAGCTGATGCCATTGACTTTTACTGATATTTATTGTTTTCTGCTTCTTCCACAGTCGTAATTTGAGGTGGATCAAACGAGGGGTAATGCAGGTGGCGCTGCTTCGACCCATTGAACTCTTTGTTTCCGCCGTGCTGTGGACAGATGGAAGATACTCACCCGGCAACGTGAGACACAAACAGATGATATTTCCGTATTTCATTTTAATTGGGATTTCCACATTCGGATGTTATTCTCATATTTTGCATCAGAACTCAAAATCGAATATCTTCACCTAATTGAAATGAAGGGACGCTTTTGAAAAGCATTTTTCGTTGCATTTCGAAAACAAGATATTTGGGGAGAATCTTAGAAAGTTAGAATGTATAGGTTAGGTTGTACACAGTAATTATGTTTCAGTACTTATTCCATCTCATTTACTATATGTATATTTTCCAGATCTCGTCGCGTGGTGGCATCTATACCACCCTCAACCTGATTACCATAGTATCTACAGTGATCGCAATCATTGCACTCAACCTCATGTATCGGATTTCCAAAGATGTCTTGAAAGATTTCAATATCACGCCCAAGTTTCTGATAATGCAATTGACGCTGCTGTTGACCAATGTCCAGCACATGATACTAAGCATAATCGTGTCTTTAGATGTCATGACGTGCGAACTACCAATGTCAACGTACACGAAATCAAACAGTAAGAAACAATGTTATTAGTTGCAAATGCTCATGTGCCTTAAATTAGTATTACGTACCGTTAATTCATAGTTCACGCTGTTTTTGTAAATTTTGATCGATTTAATACTATGTGATGCTATGCGATGTGCTAGTTGTGTTGTCACCCATATGACCGGTTGTTATGTGATATGATGATCATGGAAGATTATTGTCCGTCTTAATGTTTTTTTTATAAATATTTCAGTGTTATATAACTTTCTAATCGTCGTAGAGATGTTCATCATCGTATTTGTGGCAAGAATGTTGTATCGGCGGAAGGCCGGCAACCTACATCAGCTTCTTATCGTGGAAAAACAGCTTCTAGACAAAAAGGGCGAGCCCATAACTAGCAATATAAAGGTGGTGTGGAACGAAAAAAAAGAGGAGGTTTCTGTGACCCTCGAACGTGAAAACGGTGAAGCGATTGGCACGGAAATGACAACATTTCGACCTATGTTGCATTCTTCGAACATAGCCGAAGATGATGAAGAACTAAGCATTGGTGAACAGATTTCTTCGTCGTCGTCAAACGAGACCTTACCGGAAGTAGTAGTAGTAAGTCAGCAACCTATGAGCGTGAAACTGGACAGTGATGACCTCACCGCTGAGGAAAGAGTCTGACTTATGCTTTCAACTGTATTATTAATTTATTCTGATTAACACGTCACGTTTTTTTCTGCATTTTGGGGGATTTTACTTTTTATTTTTAGCCGTCATTCCTATTGAAAATATTTGTTTGCCTATTGAAAAAATCTTTTAAAAACATGACACATAAAAAAGGTTTTGTAAATATCGCAAATCCATTGACATTTTCATTTGACATGTATCTATCTATCTATCTATCTATCTTTATATATATATATATATATATATATATA